TTTGCATTAACTCCTCCTTGGGCACTGCCAGGCTATTACGGGGCTAGTAACAGAGTCAACATGCCCACTCTGAATACAACGGCGGAGGAGGTTGTTTGCCCTCCTGCAGTCGCAGCGCACCTGCCTCTGGAGTCACAGCGAGGAGTCTGACCCCCCGCGGGCAAGCCAGAGGGGACATCTGCTCCCCACCTCCAAGCCCGCTGCTGTCACTGCATCTTGAAGCCCAGCTCTCTGGGAGTTATTGCAGCAACACAATCACCCCCAGGCAGACGTAGGAGTCCATCTCCTTACCAAAGCATCCGAGGGCTCGTGGTCTTCCCTGGATGCATCCTTCAAATGACCTTGCGAGGCCACGCAGTGAAACTGAGGCACAGCAAGGCAAAAGGATCCACCCAAGGTCACACAGGGAAGCTGTAGCAGAACAGGGACGTGAACCCATGCCTCCTAAGTCCCATGCTGATGCCCTGACCACTGGGCCATCCAACCTCAGAGGCTCATTTTGGCCTTACCTGTGCATTTTGCTCTCTGTAAAAAAGGCAATAAGGAGTTTACGACTCAGATGATGCTGTGGTTTATTCTTCTAGCGACCTGCATTCGCCAGCGCTAGCAGCCAGCCGAGGCACAGCCTTCTGAAACCAAATGTATGAGCATGGCACGAGGTCGAAGCAACCCCTGAAAGAAAGGACCTCATCCTATCGCCAGGAAGTCAATTTTTTTTTCCTTCATCTGTTCCCTTTTCTGCCTCGTTTGGCGATTGGTTTTCTGCTCTGCCCAGCCGTGCGGGATAATCGACATGGGGAATGGGCACTGGAGCCGGGCTCCCTCCCATGGCTTTGTCTCCTGAACACATCATTAGTGACAGTGGTGCTCTATACTTAGTGCGGAGAGGCCGGCTCGTGAAGGAGCACTGCTGGTGCTTTTCATCAGAAAAAGCACACCAGCACCTTGCTGCCGCGCAGGGGGAAGCTCTGCATTTGAACCCACATTGCAGCACACAGGGCCAGGCAGAGACTGAGCCAGTTTGCAAGCTTCAGAGAGCAAACATGGCGCTGCCCACTGGGCATCTGTCTGCAGTTGTCTGCTAGCTCCTGCCCTGGCATCGTCAGCCCATCTAGCTCCCACAGTCAAAGAGCATTGTACCCAACAGCCGGCCAAGGAGCGCCACGGCCAGCGACCTTTCAGTCCTCGGCTTGAACAGCCAGGTCCCATTTACAGCTGGGTTGACTAAGGGCAGCCGTTGGCTTGAGTACGGAGCAAGGCAGGAACACAGTAGCAAGGCCTCTTAGCGGCTCCGGCAAGGAGAAGGCTATGGAGGTTTCATTAGGATTGCTGGACAAGCCGTTCTAGAAGGCGCACAGCACAGCAAGGGAGAAGAGCATGAACTAACAGCGTACAAACTTCAGGGACGGCAAGAAGCATTCAAGGGAACACACACTGGAGGATGGGGGATGCTCCTGGAAGGATGCAAGTGTCTCTGCTCATCTGGAAAGGATACGCCACCCATCAGACTATTGTACTACAGGCTGTGCTGGGAACAGGGGGGCATTTGTCTGCAGTTTTCTGCCACCTCTCCCCTGGCATCATCACCAGGGGCTGTACCAATGCACAGCAGATATGCTCCCCAGCGTGGGAAACGATGCTCAGTCAGGGGAGATCTTTCCATGAGTGAGGGGTGCCACCCCACTGCTTTTCTCAAAGTGAATGGCTCCTCCTATTACCCTTCTCCGGATTCAGTCTCTCTTCAAAAACTGGTGAGCAAGTCTTTCACGCACGTGCCTCCGCCACCCTCCAGTTTTGATGCTTTTATCCTCTTCTGTTAAGTTTAAGCAGAAGTGGAGTGGGCACCACCTGCCTGGTTTGGAGTGCTCTTGGCCTTCCCACCCCTCAGCTCGTCTCCGCTGCAGAGTTAACTTTAGTTTCAACTCCTGATCTGGCCCTGGTCATACCCAAAATCCCTTCGCTCAAGGCCAGCAGTGCTTTTAACTCAAGTCAGCCAGTCCAGGAGGCAGCTCATGTTGAGCCAGCCCAGCCTGTCTGCTGCTCACACATCTGCTCCCAAGTGTGGACAAAGGCTAGTGTCACCTGAGCCCAACCCGGCTTCCGCCCCTGTCCTCGTGCTCTCCCCACGAGCCCAGAAGGGACAGATTCCTCCGCCCACAAGTCACTTGGAAAGCATTTGGAGAATGGCCTGGCTTTCTGCAACACTAAGAGTTATGGGACGAACTCTCAGCTTGCATAGAGCCCCACGCAGCACTGGCGCGGACCACCTCGAGTGTTATTATGCCGCATGGCTGCTTTGAACCATGCTAGGCTAATGCAAGAGGTATATCACTGCCTTCCCTCTGCATGCCCTAGACTCCCCTCTTCAGGACCAATCTTACTGCCACTTTCTCCCTAACGTGGATACTTCCCCAAAGAGCCTCTGATGCCGGACCCTGCTGCAATCTCTGTCGGTCCTGTTCACCAGCACAGGTTATGCCACGATCAGGAAAGGCTCTCCCAGGAGAGATGCACACAGCAGACACCACTTCTTGTACCTCGTTCCTTGGTGACCAGGGAGTGAGTAGCAGACAGTCTGCATTTACTAAATAGCTACCTGGGATGGACGTGGACAGGCAACACCTAAACCAGTATAACTTCTACGTGTGGAGTTGTACCTCTGATCCCTTTCAGGGTAATTCTCTACTGGATTGGGCAAAGGTATCCCAGGGTAGGGGTCTGCATGGCCTATGCATCCCTTTTTGACAGTGCTATTATGCCGATTGCATCACTTAAACATGCCATCTGTCCGGGCTTTGGAAGCCAGGTTGCATCTGATCGGTGGAAGCTCAAATGAATATTCTGGGAAATAAAGCCTTAAACTGAAAGCTAAAATCATAAGAGATGAGAGGAGTTCTGGGCAACTGAGCACCTAATGAATGGCCTTGTGTTTCTTAATGCTCCTGGCCTGAGTGTTTCTGTAGGGCTGTCATCATTAGGGTACCCCACAACTCTGTCTGCACTTCAGCTTCCCCAAGACTGGTCTTTTTGTGTTGAGCCGAGCTCGTTAAGGGGTAAGTTGAATTTACACTTGCACTGTCTGCCAGTGATTTCTCCCCAAGCTGCCGGTCAAGGAGGTTTCCAAATCTTGGCAGCACCCTGCTAAGTCAAACAGCTCCCTGAGGCCGGAAATAAGAGGCAACGGCTTAAAGCAGAAGGAATACCTTTGACTTAGAAATCTGCATTTGCTCCTGTATCTCGAGAGCCGCGGAGAGAACGCTGTACCGGCATTTGCTCAAGGAGATGATTTGCTCTGGAAAGTTAAGAAACGCTTTCTCTCTTGCACGCGTGCTGCAAGCAAGCGAGGCTTGCCACCCTCCCAGCGCCTGCTCCTTTCCCTCGCTGGCTGTCTCTAGCCACCCCACTCCTCCCTCCGCCCCCTCCTTTCTGAGACATAGTATTTCTTATTCCAAAAAGTTGTCAGGCCAAGTGTGATTTGCAGTGGAGCTGCTGTGAGCAATGCCCAGAATTTCAATCAAAAGGCAAGCATTCACTGTGTCAGCAGCCCGCTGGCTCTGGCTGTACCGCGCTCCTGCCAGCTTTTCCAAGACACAGCAGCTGTGTCAAGCTAGGAGAGAAGCTGCGGCTCGTTGGGTTCAAATGTTATTCTGCAAGCTCACACGGGAATCAACGTATGATCCTCTGGGCCCTATTCAGTCAAGCTCCTCTTCTTTTCAAAGAGATCGGATGTTGGTGGCTGGCCCCTGGCTTGGAAACGTCTGTCAGCCTTAGCCCAGGAGGGCTTGAGGAAGGGACAGCTGGCTCCCAGCGCAGAGATCCCCAAAGGCAAATATATCTGGGTCTCAATTCTTATACAATCATGAAAATGAGGGTTGGAAGAGATCTCAGGAGTCGCATCTAGTCTAACCGCCTGCTCCAAGCAGGACCAGCCCCAACTAGGTCACCCCAGCCAAGGCTTTGCCTAGCCAAGTCTTAACAACTTCCAAGGATGGAGATTGCACCACCTCTCTAGGTAACCCATTCCAGTGCTTCACCACCCTCCTAGTGACAGAGTTTTTCCTAATACCCAACCTACACTTCCCTTGTTGCAGCTTGAGACCATTGCTCCTTGTTCTGTCGTCTGCCAGAGGAGGAACTGAGTCCACTCAATGAATGGAAAAAATGGTGCTCACTCTCTACCTCTACTCTCAACACAACAGGGATGCCCCTCCTTCCTTTCCTTTCCAGCATGTGTTGCTCAGTAGCGAAGCAGTCAGCGTTTGCATATATATTGTGATCATTAGGCTCCAGAGTCAACACCCCACTCACAGCCAAGGGGGCAATCGCATCTATGAAAGCTTTTCTTTCAGACTACCTGGGTTCCCAGGCAGACATTACTACAGATTTACACCCAGTAGGCTATCTTTGCTATGATCAAACTTAGCATTTATACAAGGAAAATAATGGAGGCACAGAGGGTAGGGCAGGTACAGGAACACCCACAATCTAACCCCAGCTCTAGCCAAAACTGGGCACTTTGGGTTTGTAGATAGAGGCTATTTAATGATTAAGTTCACACAGAGACTTCCTGGCAGTATCTACATATTTTCCCCCAATACTAGAAGCTGAAAGCATGGCTCTTACGGCCTTTGCCACTTGAAGATCTGTTCTCTGCCAAAAAAATCAAATGCATTTCAGCATCACATTCCCCTTTCCTTATCTCAGACACTATCAGGTACAGGAAGAAACATCTGGACTCCCAAGCAATTACATCCATGCTGGACACCTCACACCAACCTCTGGCTGGGTCATTCAACAAGAACAAGCCCAACAACGTAACACCCCAAATCCTGGTGCTGGTAAAACACACCCGACCGACTGCACCGGCAAAGCTCATTCCTAGAGATGCAGATCTTAATGCCACAAGGGACTACTGTAATCACCTCGTCTGACCTCCTTCATAATACAGGCTGTAGGATATCACCAAGGTGCTCATGCATTGGCCCGTGCCTTTTAGTTACCTGGAGTCGCTCTCTTTGAAAGCCACCTGTTCTTGATCCAAGTGATGGAGATTCCTTGATTCAAGTGACCTGGTCCTAGGTAAGCTGTTGATCTGTTAAAAAAAAAAAAAAGCACCTTATTCCTAGTTCAAACAGGCCAACATAAGCTTCCAACCATTCCTCCTCTGTACAGCACAGGTAGGGACAGCAGACTTCCCCATGCTATTCTGAATAGGATTTGTATGGGCTGCAGGGCAACTGAGAGGCACAAAAAATATACAAGGCAATGGGGATTTCTTGGTGGAAGAACCCACGCTTAACCTACAAGGCCAAATCACCCCCAGGCAACAGTGTGGGACTCTTGGCACAAAATACCAAACTGAACTGATTCAACAGAGAAAGCATTGAATAACGGCCATTCCCATGAACAAGAGATGGGTGCCCATGTCCGTGGCAGCTGGAGGAGTGGCAGAGAGGCTTAACCCCCATGCCTCCAAGGTCCCGACCCTCTCTGAGATGCCCACGAACACGTCACGTGCGAGATGCAGGGCTCTCACGAAGCTGCCAGCTCGGCCACTGAAAAGGCATTTCAGAGCCGTGCGTGCCGCTTCTGGCCTGGTTCTTATATTCTGCACATCACCAGGAGTATTCGGCGCCTTCTGGGGTTATGAATAAATAACTAAGCCTTGTGACTACTGATGTGGGCTGGAAGAAGCTGGTAACCTCCAATCTCTCCTCCCCCATCATCTTGCCTGAGTGGTCCAGACTCGGAGTACTAATAGCTCCTGAGATTCATTAGGCATGAAGAGGTGGGGGCTGGATCTGCTTGTCCCTATGATGTTTAGGGAGATGAGAGCACGGGTCCTCCTTTCCATTCTTCACCCCAGTGCGTCCCAGCCAGCACGAGGCAGAGCCTTTCACCCCACCTGTGCCTTGTTTCTCAGGGGCCATCCCCACCTCACTCCTTTCCTAGCGCAACCCGCTGCTGCGCCTCCTGACCCCGAAAGCTTGCTTAATAACTATTCTCCAACCATTTGAGTTGGTCTAATAAAAGATATCAAATACACCCAAGGAACCTCCTGAGCTTGCAGCACTTTGCCCACATCCCGCCTGGGCAGGAATGATGCTGGACACAATTGCAGCTGTTCTGCCAATGCCCGGAGCTGCTCGTGCCTATTCAGAAGTGGGAAGCGGGTTGAGACGTTAATGCGAGGCAGCCCAGCCGGTGGGTCCTGCATTCCTCCACGGCAGCGAGGAAGTGGGAACAAGGGGATGAGACACTTTGGGGCAGGAAGCCACCGCCTGCAGCCGACCGTGATGTCTCAGGCAGCATCCACCGTTGGCTGGATCAGACCTTTGCAGGCTGGATCTGACTCTTCGTGACCAGATCTGGCCGGCACGCTGTAGGGTTGCTGACCCCTGAGCTATCCACGACCCAAGAGCTACCCATGACAAGTGGGTAAAAATATAGAATTTTTTTTCCAACTATCTAGTTGGTCTAATAAAAGATATCGCCTCTCCCACACTGACTACTTCAGAAGTGAGGAAGACAATGCAAGCCAGCTCCTCTCCGACTCCCTCCGGAGAAAGCTCAGCTGCAATGTCTGGGGCAGATTGGGCTTTTCAGAGAGGTGTAATGTTTTGCTTGCTGCGGGGTTGAAACTTGGGGCGAAAAAATCAACAGGTTTTTCCTCCATCTGTTAAATCATGGTGTGTTTTGGTGCTAGCGTGGTCAGATGGAGCTTGAGGAGTGAGTTGGGAAACTTAAGAGATCTTGCTCTTTTCTGATCTGTTTTTCCCACCCCAAAGCCCCTCTAGAAATCATAGGAATACATATGCTTGTTCCAAAGGTGCCAACACATCTAGTTCATGTGCGACAATCGGGGAGGGATGGGGAAGAGAGACGTCTCCCAGCAGCTGGTTTTGAGTGCTAAACCTCCCCCCGCCTGACACACGGTAGAGCTGGCAACACTTTCAAAGCTTTGAACATTGCATTTTGAAGTTTGGGGGGAAGTTTCAAAGCCATTTATACACTGCTCCCCCTCTCTTTTCCCTCAGCAGTCATACCACACTGCTCCAGTCCTCTTTCCTCTCCCGTGACAGAAAAAAGCTCTTGTTGGTTTTGATCTGCAAGGTCTGTGCCTTGCTAACGAAGGCCCTGGTCCATGCTCGTTTGTACTGCGGGAGCACCCAGGTGAGGCTGCATGCTCCACACATGCAGGAGCAAATGATTCAAGGCCCTACTCCTCGATGACATGTTTGGGGTCTATTTGACTTGGCTCTGGCTGCCTCGGGGCTCTACTTTCTGGAAACATCCCTTTTTTTTCTTTTAAGCCGAGTTCTCCTCCTCCCTCCCTTCCAAAGCTGATTTTGCGAGGGACTTAGCAGGGTCTCTGTGCACAGGCGAAGAGGGGGAGCGCTGCCGAGCCCTCTGCCGTATTACAGCGGCAATAGGGGTGGGAGAAAAAAAGCCCTCGCAGTCCCCGGTTATAAATGCCTCTCCTCTTTCTCACAGCCCTCATTAGCCCACGTTTTGGGCAGCACAGTGAAACGCATACCACCCCCAGAAGCGCACGGTTACACGGAGATGCACGACGGAGCCCAAAGGGCTGTCCGAGAATGAGCCCGGGGAGAAGAGTCAGTCGTATCCCTGCCTCCCTCTTCCTCGGCAGCTCAGACAGAGAAAAATTGGTGTGTTGCCTAGCTACATCTGTGCAGGCAGGCTCAGGAGAGGAGATCTCTTCTCTGACCGGCCTCAGGGAGTGTTGGAGTGCCCGACTCCCCTCGTCGAGGGGCCGCGTGGGTTTGCAGAGGCTCACGGCTGCTTTTGTGCCTTTATCCAGCATAGGCACCTGGTCACGGGATCCCTAGGGAACATGTTATGGGTGTTCCTGTCTAAGCCCCTATCTAGTGATGCCGCCGGAGGTCGTAGCCAAACTGGCCTTGACCTTCACTGCTCTTGAGCTAGCAGCAATAGGGGCTTCAGCATGGGCTGCACACGCCCGTGCGGGAGCTGGGATAGACCAGCCTGCTCCTGGGTGGATCTAGGATTTTGAAAAGGGGGTGCACATGGAGAGGGGCATCGTCACGTATAACATACCGCACATTTTTCTCCGGGTGAAACGCAATTAGAAGCTTTACTAAGATGCCAGGGGCCTGGGGCTGTATTTTAAGACTAATGCAAGAACAAATATCACTTGACTGGAATAAGTTAAAAGCCATCTGCAAGGCTGGGAGATAGGCCTATTTGAAAGCCGAGGCCGGGGGCCTAGCCCACCAAGCGTATCGTGGCTGCTACTAGTAGGCAGTGGTAGTATCCTCAGCTAACAACTGATTACGGGGGACAAATAATGAAAAAGCAGGGCATGCTCGTGAAGGTTATAGGGCCAAAACAGGCTGGGAGATAGGAGCTTCATTGCCAGGAGCAACAGGCAGTCAGCAGAATGGCAGAAGTAAGGCTAGCTTGATTAGTGGACCAGCAAGGCCATTAAAAAGAAGAGGGGGTGGTGAACACCCATGGAAAGAATCTGGTAGATGATAACAAGCCATGAAGTCAAGTGACTCCTTCACTGCTGCCTGAATAGAAATGCTGCTGCCACTGCCAGGCAGCTGGTTTCAACCTTTGGGTGGAGCAAGAACCCAAGCGGGGGTGCACGTGTGCCAGTGCACACCCCCAAACCTGCTGCAGACACTGCTCGTCCCACATGAGCCCCCTCTCCTCCACACCGAAGCTGGGCGAGGTCCTGCCCTGATCAATCCTGGGGAGTCCAGCAGCCGGCTTTCTGCAGGGGTCCGAGGCGAAGACCGCGGCAGTACGAGACAGCTGTGTAATGGCCAGCGGCCGGCTCGCCGGGTGGTCACTAGAAGAGGATGGTCACCCTGCTCTCAGCAGGGCGCGGGGCCCTGTCCCGTGCAGCTCCAAGCTCAGTGGGGTTGAAAGGCTGCGACATGCATTGATACTCAACGCACGAGAAAAATTCCAGGGGAAGTCCCGAGACTCGAGGCATTTAAGCCACTTGGCTCTAAAGCGTGGAAAGCTGTGTTGGGCCCCTTCAGCAAGTCTTCTCCCATCAGTACTTTCCCTTTTTCTCTCCACTTGGCTCCTGAGGGCTATGAGAAACAAGTCGTTTCTCCCACTCAGGGTCCCTCCAGCTCCTCATCCCAGTGCCTTTATCCAGCAGCCCTAGGTCCCCTGCTTTCCCCTGCCTCTTCACCACAGCTGTCTCCCCATAGCGCCTTTCCCCTCTCCACCCTCCTCCTCCACCCTCCATCTGAGCTCAACGTCTCCAGTGTCCACTAGCTCCTATTTCTCCTGTCTGTAGCCTCCTTGCCCCTCCAACCTCTCTCCCCCCACCCCTGATCACCACTAGACTTCCCTCTCCCCGCTTCTGTCTCCTTTATATCAGACAGTTTTCTCCTCCGTGCAGCCTGGGGCATTGAGGGCAGAGGCAAGAACCTCCCTACCCGTAGCACCAGGACATGCAACTGCAGATGGTCCTGCTTAGCCGCCACCTCTCCCCTCCTCCCGGGAACGTGTCCCACCTAGCAAGATCCTCAAAGGTTTTAGCAGCTCACTTCAAACTAGTCTGTACTGAGCACATGCAAAACGTGACTTTTCCAAGTCTATCCCTTGGCCACATTTGGAGACTCCTGTTCTAGTGCCAGGGCTGCTGTGCAACTCTGAGCATGCCTGTTTCCCTTCAGCCATGTAGAGCACTGATTTTCAACCTCTTTTCATTTGTGGACCCCTAAAACACTTCAAATGGAGGTGCGGACCCCTTTGAACTGCAAGTGTGGGTATTCACATACTTTTGATTGATCGCAGACCCCTTAGAGATACTTTGCAGACCCTTAGGGGTCCATGGACCACAGGTTGAAAACCACTGATGTTGATAGTACAGAGGCAACAGCACTGCCATGGCCTGTGTGTTTGTACAGCGCCTGGTATTTTTCATACTAGTAATGAACTAGTATGAACCCACACTAAATGGGTGAATTTTAGGGGATACATTCAAACCAAGAGCCTTGGGTGTTATATTTCTAACAGGTTGCCTGTGGATAAGAAAGCAGGCTCTCAAAAACCAAAGGCCATCAGTCATTTATAACATGGTAG